ACACACACACACACACACACACACACACACATAAACAGTAAACATGTCCAGACTTGATAGACACATCCGAATTTCAGAAGTACTTCCAACAGAGAGAGATGTGTCAGATATTTTATATTCAGTATGTGTAAATACTGTAGTGTTTGTGTGTTTAGCTATAATTTTGGGACAAAACTGTATCAAGGAGTGACTTAAACTTGACACGACTCCTTCAAATATATAAACTATCAATTCAATTTAATATCAATATTCAGAATTCTATATAATTTTTTGATATCATTATAATGGGCTTCATATAAATCAATAGAAGATTTTGATATGTGTTCAGTGTGTATGTGTGTGTGTTTATACGTACAGGAAGGCTCAAGATTGCAGCTGTATAGATCTGTTGACAGCTGTAGTGTGTGTGTGTGTGTGTGTGTGTGTGTGTGTGTCTGTAAGTGTGATTTGTGATGAAAACAGGTTTAACTGTCTGCCAGAACTTCTCTGAAAACAGATAAACACATGCAATCTGGCACAAATCCACAACCTCCCACAATCACACACACACACATCTCATAGACTCAATGGTTTTCATACTAAGATAATATTGACTAACCGTACTGAATGTAAGACTCACACAAACCTGTTGACGGCAGAAGATTTGAAGCAGAACATGAGAGTCTTTCGAATAGTAAAGAGCTCTTTTAATGTCTTCACAAGACGCTTTTCAACATTTGTGAGGACATTTCTGACTAGAGACATTTCTAGCCACATCTGTACACACACAGAGAGTTCAGCATGTGTTTCTGTGAGAATATCTGCTGTCATCAACAGCGCTAACATCATATCAGCTCATGATGATGACGGTGAACTCGTGCATCAGCCGTGAACACGCTCTTTATCGAGAGTTTTACTGTTTAATTCTTATCACATTAAGAATGTAGAATTGAAATTCAAGCTTGAGTTGGCACGCACTCTCACACATAAACACCATTATAATGACATTCATGCAACATAATAATGAAATGACTGATGAGAGAGAGTTTTACCTGCTCAGCGTCTCCTGATGAATGTGACGCCACTCTGAAAGCAGCACGAGTTTATGACAGTGAGAGCCACACCTCTCTCTCTCGCTCTCTCTCTCTCTCTCACACACACACACACGCACACACACAGTTCATTCATACACACTTTCATTGATTCAGCGCTGTCCCTGCCGTACACACACACTCACACTCACACTCACAGACAGACAGTCAGAGCGGCTGCTTGCATGCGTCTCAACATGTCAGTGCGAGACCTCAAACTACCTCAAAGACAGACAGGAAATCACCCCCCCCCGCCCCCCCCAAACAAATATTGCAAGGTTTTTTTTTTTTATAAATTAGAAAAAATTAATAGAATATGTAAGTGCTAGTATTAGGTGCTGGCAAAAATGATTTTTTGAAAATGGCTAAAGACTCAGCTGCTCAAATTGAGATCGGCAGGTCGTTCCAGCAGCTGGGAACAGTCCAGGAAAAGGTCAGTGAGAGTAATTTTGTGCCTCTTTGGGATGGCACCACAAGGCGTCGTTCATTTGCAGAATGCAAGCTTCTGGAGGGTGCATTAGTCTGAACTTGCGAGTTTAGGTATATTGGAGAAGAGCCAGTAGTTGTCTTGTAGGCAAACATCAGTACCTTGAATTTGATGCGAGCAGCTACTGGCAGCCAGTGCAAGATGATGAGGAGAGGAGTAACGTGAGCTTTCTCATTGAAGACCACTCTTGCTGCTGCATTCTGGATCAGTTGCAGAGGCTTGATAGTACATGCAGGAAGGCCCGCCAAGAGAGCATTACAATAGTCCAGTCTGGAGAGAACAAGAGCTTGGACAAGGAGTTGTGTGACCTGCTCTGATAGGAAGGGTCTAATCTTCCTAATGTTGTATAAGGCAAACATGCAGGACCAAGCCGTTGTAGCAATATGATCTGTGAAGCTTAACTGTTCATTCATCACAACTCCAAGATTCCTGGGCAGCCCTGGAAGGAGTTATGGTTGATGAACCTAGCTGTATAGAAAAGTTGTGATGAAGTGCTTGGTTGGCTGAGACCACGAGCAGTTCTGTCTTAGCAAGGTTGAGTTGAAGGTGATGGTCTTTCTTCCAGCTAGAAATGTCTGTCAGACAGGCTGCAATGCGAACAGCTACCGTCGGATCATCTGGTTTAAATGAGAAGTAGCGTTGAGTGTCATCAGCATATCAGTGATAGGAAAAGCCATGTTTCTGAATGACAGTTCCTAATGATGACATGTAGATGGAAAAAAAAGAAGTGGTCCAAGCACTGAGTCTTGAGGAACCCCAGTAGCAAGAAGTTGTGACTCACCCCTCCAAGACACCCTGAAGGACCTACCTGAGAGGTAAGACTTGAACCACTGAAGTGCGGTTCCCGAGATCCCGAGATCTTCATGAGGGTGGACAGGTAAACTGTGTCAAAAGTAGCCGACAGATCCAGCAAGATGAGTACTGAGGATTTGGAAGCTGCTCTTGGGCAATAGAAGCAATCAAACCAACAAAAGAGCAACAATATATAAGTGTTGTGACAAGTCCCGGTTAGTCTAACACAGTACACGTAGCAAGGCTTCTTTTTTTTAAATAATAAGTAGAAGGAATAAAAAGTAGATAGAAAAGAAATAGAATAGAGAGAGCTAGTGTTAGAGTGTCAAGTTATTATTATCTTTATAATAATTAAAAGTAGATGGAATAGAAAAAGAATAGAGAACGCTAGTGTTAGAGGGTCAAGTGTAGATGGAAGAGATGTGTTTTTAGCTGTTTCTTGAAGATGGTTAAGGACTCAGCTGCTGGGATTGAGTTGGGCAGGTCATTCCACCAGGAGGGAACATTTAAGGTCAAAGTCCGTGAAAGTGATTCTGTGCCTCTTTGGAATGACACTACAATGTGCCGTTCACTTGCAGAACACAAGTTTCTGGAGGGCACATAAGTCTGAAGTAGTGAATTTAGGTAAAGAGGTGCAGAGCCAGTGGTGGCTTTGTAGGCAAACATAAATGCTTTGAATTTTATGCGAGCAGCTATTGGTATCCAGTGCAAATAGATGAACAGAGGTGTGACATGCTCTCTTTTCGGCTCGTTAAAGACTAATCTTGCAGCCGCATTCTGGATTAATTGTAGAGGTTTGATAGAACTGGCTGGAAGACCTGCCAAGAGAGCATTGCAATAGTCCAGCCTGGACATACTGTATATATGTGACACATATTGTTGAAAAAGCATAATCTTGATCAGCATGTCATGAATAATTACAGAACCATTTTTAAACCTTTTATCTTAAGTCTTTCGAAAAAGTTGTCTACTCTCAGATTTAATCTTAAGCGCTTTTGGTATTTTTGATTATTTTCAGTCTGGTTTCAGGGAACGGCACAGTACTAAATCTGTGATGTTGAAGGTTACCAGTGACATTTTAATCACTCTTGACTCTGTTTCTTGCTGTATTTTAATCCTGCTTGATTTAAGTACATCATTTGACACAGTAGACCATGGAATCCTTTTACAAAGACTCAATCATGTAGCTGGTTTTCAGGGGTCTGTGCTGGAGTGGTTTGCCTCTTACCTCAAGGAGAGAACTTTTTCTGTTAATGTAGGGGAATGCTTCTCATCTGTTCCACAGGGTTCCATTTTGGGTCCTCTTCTTTTTGCATTATATATGCTTCCACTAGGTCATATTATTCAGACACAACTTATCTTATTTCTATGCTGACGACACTCAGCTTTATCTTCCTGTTAAAGATAACAGCTGTTCTGTGTCCAGTATGTTTGATTGTCTGCATGACATAAAATGCTGGATGGATATGAATTTTTTACAGTTAAACAATGACAAAACTGAAATCATCTTTGGCCCTTCGGTTCTGACCTCTGTCAATCACATTGGTTCCCTCTCTTCTAATGTACGTGACTGTCAAATACCTTGGTGTTATTTTTGATCCCACTCTGTTTTAATAAACAGATTAGCACTGTCGTGAAAAGCAGTTTCTTTCAGTTAAGATCTATTGCTAGACTCAAGATGATGTTTTCTAAGAAGGACCTTGAAACCATTATTCATGCTTTCATAACTTCAAAGCTGGACTGCTGTAATTCACTCTATCTGGGTTTGCCTAAGTCAGCTTTAGATTGCTTGCAGATGGTTCAAAACGCGGCAGACAGATTACTGACTGTCACTAGATAACGTGAGCACATTACACCTGTGCTCGTCTCTCTTCACTGGCTACCGGTTATGTTCCGTGTTGATCTTAACATTTTGCTCTGTTTTTAAAGCTTTGCATGGACTTGCTCCTCAGTATATTTGTGATCTTCTCACCCTGTATACTGCTTCAAGACTCCTTCGATCATAGTCAATTTCTATTCTCAGTTTCTTGCTCTCGTTTTAAATCTAAAGGCGATCAGGCTTTCTCAGTGGCTGCTCCTTGTTGCTCTCTATATTAGATCTGCTCCTTCTATTTATATGTTCAAATCCTCTTTGAAGACCTATTTTTATTTATGTTTTACTTCTTCCTGAGGGTGTAAATTTTCACTCGTCCTTCTGGTTGTGTTTTGTATATTGTCTAGTCTTTTATTTAGTTTTAATTCTGTTGTATATTTCCTGTGCAGCACTTTGGTTTCAACATCTGTTGTTTTTAAATGTGCTTTATTAATCAATAAACTAAACTTAACAAAATTAAACAAATGTACACTGATCTGCATACATTTCCAGCAATAAATCCAAACACTGGATAAATTCAGTTTGAAAAATATTACAATATATATATATATATTAGAGTTAAAGGTTTTTCCAGAGGGGATTTTGGATTTCTCTTTTTATCACTCCATAAATCAGAAAATGCTGTCAACAGACAGAAAACAAACACATTTTCACCAAGATTTTAGGAATAAAATGTTATATAAATCACTGTGAATGATATATGACCAAACCTTCAGAATATATATAGGAATAAGTGCTACTGAAGTGGAGAAAATGATCAAGCCTTAAAATAAATTGGAACTGAAATTTACAAACTTTTTTTGTTTTCTTTCCACTAGAAAAAACCCTTCCTGAAAAGCCAAACCCAAAAATCTCAAAATTGACCAATGCATGAAAAAATGATTTTGAAAGTGTCTTTCCTTCAATCTGACACCCTCAAACATACAAACCGTCCATAAGGATTCTCCGTTTTCTTATAGAGTTTGCGTTAGTCTGGCTCCTTACAGTATAATGGACTTGATAAAGAATATGATATGTGTTCATTTCAGTGAAGACACATATAAAAGCAGACGGCTGGACTGGATGAAATCTCAGTGAATCTCAGACGGGGTTCGGTTACTGCAGGTTAAGTGAGCGCATAAGGCTAATTTCAGAGATTTTTTGTTTGTGTTGGCTGAAGGGAACTTCCTCCTCCTAAGATCATATTTACACGCTGCAGCAGCTACCGAATAACAGATTTCCAGCAGCATGTTTGTCAATGGAAATCCAGGAAATCCTACGGGCCGACAAGATACGTGTAGCAGACACACACACACACACACTCACACACACACTCACACACACACACACACACACACACACTCTCTCTCACACGAGCCTCCCCCTCTGCGGTGCCGTGTGTTTAGTGTTCAGAGAACCAGCCTTTGATAGTCAAGCAAACCTGTATTTTCAGGTAGAGACTTCCTCCCTGCACACGCCCCTCTGCTTTGATTGTTAAAGAGCCCTGGCGCCAACACTCACACTCACACAAACACACGCACGCACACACACACACACACACACACACACACACATTCTCACACACTAAACAACTCTTCATATTTAGGTGAGCAGCTTTCCAGGTTCCCACAGACCCACAGATGTGAGTTTCTCTCTCACACTCATACACAAACACAGACAAAGAAAGAGAACATGACACTGATTGTGTGTAGATGTGTATGTATCTATATCATGTTTGTTTAGCGATGTAAAGCTTTACTTTAAGCTGGAAGGCAATAAAGCTCCTTACATCTTGAGACAGACAGAGGAAGGCCAGCAGTGGGACACAATCACCGAAGAATGAATCACACAGCCATAAAACATTTGTGCGAAGAGTTTTTCATTTTCCATTTTAAT